GATGTTGGGTGTGTGGTCCTGTGTTTTGTTGGTGTATATATTTAATATACTTCTAATCGCTATTTCAGTCTTTCTATCTTTCTAATCACTTCTCTCTGTTTTTCTCTCTGTCTCTATTTTCTCTTCACTTAAAAAAAGTCACTGATGATGAAGAAATAAATAAACTAATATTTGGTTTAATTTTCTACTGAAGTGACAAAAAAAGTAAACAGGCTAGCATGAGCTAACATGTTTTACTTTTTTTATGAGTAGTATTGATCACATATTTGCATACAAATTAATTTCTGTTGTGGGTGTAAAAAATAAACAAAAAAAACTATTCTGTTATGTTTGGTCACATTTTTAAAGAGCCACTGCAGAGGGACCAAAGGGCCACATGTGGCCCTAGAGCCACAGRTTGCAGACCCCTATCTTAGACTTTTCAGTCTATGTCCCAACAAACAGAAGTTTTAAGAAAATGTATTGATGCATTTTTTTTAAGTGAGCGTATAAAGAAGGAAGTTGCACTTCCATTGACTTCCACTCGCTCCTAAATTGGTCAGAATATGTAAAATTCAAAGTGTGAATGTATCAAAAGGGTTTAATTTAAAGTATTTCAAACGCACCCGTGTGAAGAGGGTGGAGACAAGGTATATGAGCCAGTGAGCTCTATTTTACATTTCATGCAGACTGAATGACTGGACGACCAGGCAGGACCCTCATTCCTTGGGTTTTTAATTTGTTCKCTTTGCAACATAAATTCAAAGAGGCATGAGTATTTAATTAGGTTCTTAAGCAGCTGCCCATGTTACAGACTTTTATAGCCAATATAAAGCAACGAGTATGACGTTTAGAATGTGTTGGCATGTTTTGCATGARAACTCACTTAGTTTTCAACATGATTCAAATGAAGTCTTTGCTTTAAAARGCCATCTAAAACTCTAAGGGGTTTTGCTTGGAAACATAAAACAATGCATAGAAAGTTAAAAAAACATGAAAAGTTGAGCATTGTAGAATACTCACTTTTCCCTTGTTTGAATCAGATTTTAAAAGTTATTGTGTGAATGTTTATAAAAAATTCACACAATTACGATCCTTTTTTTTCTTCCATATGTTTTTTTGGCACGCAACTTGTTCCACAATTTTTATGCTATTTCAATATTTAGA